AAATTGCAATCTTCTCTCTGAAATTGTTTAAATAATAGAATGCCAATAAGAAAACTGGTTGTATAAAACACAAAATCAGCAAAACAAAATGGACAATGTGAATCTTTATTGCTTTCTGTAGCTATGAAAATTATAAGTGGATTTTTCTAAGCTGTCTGGATTGCAGATTATGCTGACAGCTTGTAAAGATTTTGTTCCAGATGGACTTAAATTAGAACTAAATATCTATTTCAGCATCTATGAATTATTATAGTCTGCAGTCTTAGAAAACCATTAGAAAATTTATTGCATTTTGGTTTTGCTCACCACTTACAGGTACCTGAATTGTGATAACTTGTAGTTGATAATTGTTAAAAGTTCAGAATTGCAATATTTTTACTCTTGGTGAGAAGTAGGAAAAAATGAAGGATTTTTCATGTCTCTCAGATATATTGGCCTATTCTCCAAATGACAGGTTCCTGACTGATCAACTGTACCACCTGCTACTAAAGCTCAGTAATATTAGTCTGTGGAATGGTTTCATTCTCATCTCACACCTCAGAGATCTTGCGCTCAACCCCAGGCATCCCTTGTGTGTTTAAATCAGCTTAACGGCTCATACAGTGTGCTGATTTCCTTGTAGGCCTCTGTTTTCTCAAAAAGTGATCACCTTTTGCCAATGCCCTCAGGATTAAACAGGGCAGTCTGGTTTTCCTTTTCTGCATTGGCTATACCTTTGTAGTCAATAAAAGACTAACTAGAAAAGAATCAGCTGATGAGAGAATCAATCTTCTGGAAGCCTCCCCACAGTTTTCTCATCATTTTTGTGCCGTCTGTCATCTCAGATTGTAAAATGGAAACCAAAACTCAGTATGTGGGAAGACTTTTACTGCTCCTTGTTAACAAAAACAGTAAGACCAGGGGTTTTGATCTTATGAGTGTATAGGTAAACAGTAAGCTGTAAGTGCACACTCTTGAAGTGGCTTTTCTCTGTTTCTAATGGAGGTTTGCAAAGAATTATCAAAGTGGTATCAAAAAGGTCTCCTAACATACTGTAGTGTGGATATCCATTCTGAGGAGGTCAGGTTAAATCTGAAGGTCTGATATATGACGATACTGGGGTATCTTATGATACAGCAAGCAGTACTGTGTGCTTCTTACTAATAGAGAAATATAATACAAATCCTTTCTGCATTTTTATAAATGCGGTTACATTGTAATAATTTATTTCTGTAGCACTGCATTTTTAAATCAAGTGACATTTTGTCTTATTTAACTTTACTTTAACAACTTTATCTCACATAATTGCTTTCTTATAGACTATACAAAAATGCATTTGAAATATATTCAGATTACTTTGGCAGATAAAGGTCACTTCTTCATATAACCCATTGTATATATTTTCACCAGCACCAGAGAGAATCTGAAAATAATTTTCTTTCTGCTTTTACTTTATGGTCTTAGATCTCATTTATAACTTGAAAGCACAATGAGCAGAGGGAATTTAAACTTGCTAACTGATCCTATTAAAATACAAAATAGAGTCTAAAATTTGCTTTTTTTTTGCTTGAGTTCAAGCTTTTAGTCAGTTACAATGCTATCAGAACGGTTTGGCTTCTCCCTCTGGTAATATGTAAAATACATTTAATAAAAATAAAAATGTATCTTTAAATATGTGAAATCCATTTAAAATTCTCTAGTATGAATTATAATATTGAATTATGAAGAAGTAGAATGATTTTATTACTTCTTTTCAATATCATTGAAATAGCCCACTGATTAAATTATTACTGCTTTCTGGAGTTGGGAGTATGGTTTAGTGAGAATAGATTCAAATTTTTCTACTAATTAGTTCTCATATTACTGGAAATTTGAGTGTGTCAATATATTATTTTATATTGTGAAGATTTTTAATTTTATTGATAAATGTATATAGTAGAAAGGGAATAACAGAACACTATTATTGCTTTCTATGCATTTATCTGGAATTTATTTCAATTTAAATCAGACATAAAATTTTCTCATAAATTGGAGAAACTGGAAGTGTAGAATATTCATCTCATTATTTTATTACTATTCATCATTCATATTTATTGAATATTCATTACCATTTTCATCATTAGATAATGCAAAATATCCAAGATTAAATAAAATTAGAACATAATTGTGCTTTTCATATTTTAAAGCTATTCCTTTCAATATTGGACAACACTTCATTTTCTCATAATGTTATCCATTAGGTTTCATCATTGTTTTATATATTTTATTTGGGTTATTTTTTGTTTTATATTTAGATAAGATACTGTTTCATTTTATAGCCCAAACTTGTCATTATTTTTAGTGTTGGTTTGTCACAGAATATTTAAATTCTCTTCCATCATAAAATAATATGTACTATGTTGACACATAGAAAATACTTCATTATCACCTAGTGATTCAACAAAAGGAAGAACTGCTCCTTCTTCATTTTTTCTCAAAGTCTAGAGATCCTGTATTTTTTAGGAACTAGAATGTACACACCACTGTGATGTGTACATCTAGGACCATCAAATAGTATAAGGAATTTACCAAAAATAATGAGGTTTTGGATTACTTAAGACAGTAATTAGGAGAGAAGAACTTTATAAATACTTTTCTTGTTTGTTATCTTTTGTCTATATCACACATCTTTACTGCAGGAAACATTCTTCCATGAGAGAATAAGTTGATTATATTTATCATGAATCCATGTTTGAGTTAAATGAGGGTAGTGAAAGAGAAAGTGAAAAGCTCAGTCAATAACTTTATTTTCAAGTATTTCTCTCTGTGTATATATGTACAGTCTAACTTATTCTGAGTCAGTGTTGGTTTTGAAATTTTATAAACAAAGTGATGGTAAGGCTGTCCAGATAAATATTATGTAACTGAGACATAGCTAGTGCATGAGTTGCTTTTCTCATTTGCAACTTGTAAATGTTAGACTGTTCACAGTGTTATAAATGTTGATTGAATAAGTTATAGAACTAAGCAAACAGGACTAGGAAAAATTACAAGTCAATTGGAAAATTATTTAATATGTAATAGGGAATATAAGTATTATGCTAAAATAACATCATTTTCAGTTGAGGTATATTTTACTTAAAAAATAAGAAAAAATATCAAATAACAAAGATCAGGAGAAACTTGTATATTTCACAATTAAGATAAAAACTCCAGAATTTTACTGTAATATTCCACAGTATTCTTGTTTGCTCTTCACTTGTGCTTTCATACTTCCCCACCTAGATATACTTTTTATAACTAAAGAAAATACAAAGGAGAAAGGGGAAAAAAATGGACTCTTTAAATGTAGTGAAAACTGTAGTTGTGACAGTCCCTCCAAAGTAATGAACTTTCACCATACCATATTACAAAAATTACATATACAAGATAGATCAACTTGAATGTAAGAGCTGGAAATGTAATAGGTGGAAGAAAAACATTAAAAAATATGTATTTGTTTTAGTGAGATCTTTGGAGACTCAACTCCAAAAGTAACGGGAACAAAAGCAAAAGTAGGCAAAGGTGTCTATATTAATTGCAAATGTTCTGCATAGTGGAAGACACTGTCATTTAAATAAAAAGACACCCTACTGAAAGGGAGACTGTTACATACTTGACAAGGGGCTAATATCAAAAATATAGAAAGAATGCTTAAAACTTAACAAGAAACAATCCAATCATAAAATGAGCAGAAGAGCTAAATAGACACTTTCAAATAGGACATATATTTTGGCCAATGGGAACATGAAACATTTTTTAGCATCATTTATCAGGGAAATGCAAATCAAATCCACAGTGAGATACCACTTGACTCCAATAAGAATGTTCAATATCAAAAACCAGAAAGTACCACTATTGGGAGGATGTGAAAACATAGGAATCCTCATATGCTATTGTCTGGAGTCCCCAGGGAAAACACTATGGATGTTTCTCATTAAAAATAAATCTACTATATAATCTAGTAATTCCTGTCCTAGCTATTTTCCAAAAAGTTAAAAACACTTATTTGAAAGGATATATGTACTCCTATATTCATTTGTTAATATATTTACAATAGATATGGGAACAGCTTACTTGCCTCCAGAACAGATGAGTACATTAAGAAGATTGGTATACAACCTTTGAAAGTTGACTGTACACTGAAACATTTGCAAGGGAAGGGAGAACAGGAGGGATGCAATCAAATGGGGAGGGAGCACAATGGACTGAGGTGACCTATGGATGCTTTTGTAGAGGCTGTGCTATGGTGAATACACCTAGAGGGAGAGAGCCTTTGCTTCCAAATTACTAACAATGAGGTAAACCAATGGTACTTCCATTAAAAATCAAACCAAAACTAAGCACTGTCCATACCCCCCAAAAAGATGTAGAATTTTGTCACAATGGAATATTATTTAGCTATGAAAAATGGAATGTTGCCATTCTTGGTATGCATAGAACTGAAGGGGGTAACATGCTAAGCAAAATAAGTCAAATGTAGAAAAAACAATACTGGATTATTTCACTCATGTGAAATATTAAAAACAAAGGAACAGACAAAACAAAACCAACTCTTGAAATCTGGTGCAGCACTGAAACTGAGGAAGGTGGGAGGTGAGGGTGAAAATAAAGAACAATGGATTTATGGTAGACGATTATTTCAGCCTGGATGGTGGATGTGATTTGATGACATATATCTGAAAATAGATCAGCTTTTACCATTACATAATATATAATGTTACAAATGTACATGACCCCAATAAAAAACAACAAAAAATCAAATCATGCTAATGAAAATAATAAATCATATGCAATAATAGACATCAATGATATCTAATCATGGATCACTTCCAATTACTGACTTCATTAATTTATATAATTAATTATAATAATGTATCACTGCATTAATAAAACAGTAAGAGAATATTTGCACATCACTGTTTTCAACCTAAGAATTTAAATATGTGAAGATCCATAGAACAAAATACAAAACAAAAATCTTTTACTGTTGAGTGAATTAAGGCAAAAAAAATAAATAAAATTGAATCTTTGGGTGATATTGGAATACAAAGTGCAGGAAAAGTTTGATATCCTTGTGGAGATGAGTCACACACTTTTAAGCTTTCAAGTAACCTGTTAGAAAAAAACACATTGTGAGTTTTATAATTCATAAGATCCATAATCTAGTTGCCTTGGCTACACAGATACTACTATCAAGGCAAAACTTCCTCGGGGTCTCCATTGAGTAGGCACTATTTAACTTAGGGAGTATTATTCAGATTAATATCTTACACAGGGTGGGTTGATTAAAACTATTTTATATTTATGAGGTAATTACATTGTGATGTTAGTTGTATCCCTAGTGTATATAACAGAAGATACTAGTATCCTTGTCATTTTGCCCAAAAACAAGTAAAGACATGCATTGAGGAGACATTTATTACTTAATCAGTCTTAACACTATACAAGTGGTATTTATGGAAAACAATTCCCAACTGTTATATTATTCTAAAGCTTTAATATGCAATAAAAACCATCAACATGCCTAAACAGAGAGATATGGTGTTTCTATATTGATTTAATTGTTTTCTATATTGATTTAACCTAACAATGAATTGATTAGATTATGCAATTTTGCAGTTGGTATTCTGGTTTACACATACTGTCTTCAGAATCTTCATGATGTGACTAGGATTATGATTCATAATCACCAGATTTATTCACTTTTGCTTATATCAAGATGGATTCCCTTCATGGGCTAACAGGAGCACATTACCTTTACTGGTTATGGTAATTGAGAGTTGTTTTGTTTTTATCATAAGTCAAAATTCCAAGGAGATCCATTGTTCTATTACCCAGGCCTGGATAATGTGATTTCTACTTGCCTAGTTTTGTGCTATGGGTAAGAGATGCTAGTTCATACACACCATGTAAAATAAGTATGAGTTGTCCAGACTGTGAGAACTCTGATGAAAAACAAATAAGAATAGTGAAACTTGTTTATACTTTATAACTATCTTTTTATGGTATAATTTGGTAACAACAAAAGCTCAGGTAAACATTATTAATCATTTTAGGGTCTATCTCTTACTTCTTCCAGCATATTATTTTAACTTGTGTCCTAAATTTTCAGATATTGTTGATTTTCACACCTTTCCTAGTTTTCTAGAAAGAAGCCATTTGAGGGAAAATATATTTATTGATCAGCAACTGCTCGTATTCCCAGTTCTACATTTTTTTATGTTCATTATATTAAATGTAGCAGATAGTGTAAGGTGAGCACATGACTCCACAATAATAGACTAAAGTTCCACTGTCTGGTAGTGCTGTGACTAAGTTTGTTCAAACAGGATATAGCAGAAGTGGTTTGTACAGCTTCTAAGACCTAATTAAACACACAGCTCATTACCTATGACAATTCCAGGCCTCACTTTTCTTTGATTATAACAGAGGGTTTATGAAGAGACGTAGCCTTGACCATTCAAATGATAGCACATTGTCATTCTTAATTTCATGGGGTCCATCAATAAAATAATCTGTGGAGAGAAGCCGAGTGGAGCACACATGTGAAAAAGGAGAGTTCTACCACAATTTTCATTATCCTATATCTGAAAATTAGCATTTATTTCAACTATAAATATAAAAGGTCTTTGTAGGCTTAGCAGTAGGTTTGACTTATTAATGATATAACAAGTACTTTCTTATACTATATATAGTATATTATACTATATTAATTATATTAATTATACTATATTATAGTCAAGTATGCATCAAAGTAGTATTTATGTTCATCCTTACTGGGGAATTTTGGTAATTTTTAGATTGAATCGCTTAGTCTTGATTATTAATGTACTCTATTTTGTAAGTTTAGTCTAAGGTTGGATGAATATATACTTTGTCACCAAAATTAAGATAAATTCTAAATTAGATAATAGACAGAACACTCAGGAAGTTCTGCTTGCTCAACTAAATAATTATCCTAGTATTTGCCAGTCTATGATAGCTGTGTTCTCTGATCATCTGCCAGAATAAATTCCTGAAGGACAGGAATCCAGTATATATCCTATTTTTGTTAATAAAGTTTTATTGGAACTTAGGCACGTTTATTTATGTATCATCTATAGCTACTTTCACACTGCAATACCAAAGTTTTATAGTTGCCACAAGGACTGTTAGCATACAAAACCTAAAATATTTGCTCTCTGTTCCTTTAAAGGACCAGTTTTCCAACCCTTTTCTTGAACATGAGAGGAATGAATAGGAGCTTGACTTTGTCTCACTTGCTCACTTGTACTCTATGCTGTGAAGGCAGAAGAATCGTCATATCAGAATTTGAAGAATAAACCAGGTAGGAGAACATGAACCACTCTTCAGACTGAGTGTATGGATTGCTTGGAACTCAATATTTAGTCAGAGGACAGATACACCTGTCATTTAAATATATTATCTAGTAATAATACCAGACAGAAAGGGAGCACACAACTGATAGGTTTCCTTAATAAGAAGAGAACAACCATAAATTAAAACTTCTGTTAATAAAAAAAATGATTATTTCAAATCAAGAGAGCAAAATTCTAACATGAACAATCTTCAGTATAATTGTATATTTCTTACTTCCACTAGCATTATTAATGGGGCTACAGTTTGACCTGACAATGAGAATAGCTTCCCTTGTGGCATTGTGGCAATTCTATTTCTGTACTTTGAGAAATAAAGGAGTAGACAAAGGATAAAAATCCTTGCTTGAGCTGCTGAAACAAAACATAGTGTGAAGAATTTCCAGTTACTCAGGAGCTCAAAGGATCCCAATTTCACAGCACCCGAGTATTGGATACTTGATGGACACTCACTGAAAAGACCTTAGTCCCTTGAATCAGTATTCATTTGGGAGACTAACACTGCATTTGGGGTCCTATAGACAAATGAATATAGTAATAAAATTTCTTTTGGGAAGGAAAAAGATACCTCATATGGAGCAATCATTAAAGACCACAACCTAGCAGCTAGTATGTCCCATTTGGGTGCATTGAGGAAGTAATAGGGAATTTGCCAGTCAGAGGCTCTGCTAAGCTATTGCAGGTACCAGGACTTTATTGCCATGGCCACATATCTCCTAGACTTACTGATACAGAATATGTTTTATCTTATATTGTTGTTATTTTTTAAAAAGATGTATTTATTTATGTATACAGAACTGGGGTGCAGGTCAGAGGTACAGGGGCGATGATAGGATTCACGAGTCAGAGTGGGGTATAGAACAGGCAAATCGAAGAAGTACTGCTGCTGAGGGGAGCAGCAGTTGGGGGTTAGGAGAGGTCTGCTGTGCCATGTGGGTCACCTCCGGGGCTAGAGATCAAACTTGCACTGAAGCGGCTGCCTCTAGCTCACAGTGCTGTGCCCTAATTCATTGCACCACTAGGAATGGCCCTATATTGTTTTTTTTTAATAAATATTTTTTTTAACGTGGTTGGGGAGAAAAGCAAATATAGACACTAATTTAAGAATAGGACAAGGGGGCCCTCCCTGGTGGCGCAGCGGGTTAAAGCACAGCACTGAGAATCTAAAGCTGCTTCTGCATGAGTTCAATTCCCGCCTGCCCCCGGAGGTGACCACATGGTGTGGCAGACCCGCCCGCTGCTCCCCTCAGCAGTGTACTTCGTAGATCTGCCTGTTCTGCTCCCCACTCTGTCTCTGGTGAAGCTTCTCACCGCCCCTGAGCCTCTGGCCTGTACCCCAGTTCTGTATGCACAAATAAATAAATCTTAAAAAAACAAACAAACAAACAAAAAACTTATAATAAAAAAAAAGACAATGGAAAATAGGACAAGGGTACAATGGATTACGCTATTGGCAGAATTTAGTGGAACATGAAAAAATGCTAGAAAACCTAAGTCTGAAAGCATTATTGACATTTTAATAGGTAGATATTATCCTGCTCCATTCTTCTTCTTCTTGACCAAATGATGATATCCCTTGATCTAACCCATAATAAATCTCTTTTAAAAGAAATTTTCCTTCTGTTGTTATCTTCTCAACTTTCCCTATTGCCACACCCCCAATTTTTATCTTCTCTTCCTTTTTCATTTTTTCTTTCATAAAAACAACTTCCTTTGGGCATTTTTATCTTCATAGACACATGACAAATGTTACTACATGCTATGCTATGGGAAACATCTAAAAGTATAACAAAAGACTTACTAGATACTTTCTAAACTCTACAGTAAGGAGAGTAAATTTTAAAAGTGAGTTGTACAATATTTAAGAAAGATCCTTGAAGTATTACCAGTGAGGTCCTGAATAATTTGTCCAAGGCATTCATGACTATATTTGAAAAGTCCAGGGGAATTCTCTATCAGGCATCTAAGTGTGTAGAGGGTACAGACTTTGATCTTCAAAATGTAATCAAGGAAAGAAGCAAGAGTGAACTAAAAGTGATGAAGAAATATGAAGGAAGGAAAGTAGAAGGTTTTGGAGGATGATGAAGGAAGATTTGGGAATTGGAAGTATCAGATGGGAACAAAATTGAAAAGAAAAATAGGAACCAGACTGTAAAAGAATTTGGACACTTATTTACAGTAATTTAGCAATTATCTGCCTATGAAGTGCTCTGTCCAGGGAACATACATTTGTAACAGTTATGTAAGATATGGCTTTTATTCTCAAGCAGTCATTAGCCTTGTGGTAGTGGTAGGCAAATAAACAGTACCAATTCCAACTGATAGGCATGTTCACAGAATATCCAAGTATGAGAAATCAGAGAACAGATCCTTTAAGGAAATGCTCCTGGTGGAAATGATGCCTGCAATATGTTCTAAAGACTGCGAAGAATCCAGACTGGCTTGGAAAGCTGAGAAGGGCCTTTATGCAGAGGGGCTGGAATGAAAACATGAAAGGGAAAGGTGAAACATATATTCACTAGCAATTTGTATTACATCAGCATATATCTTTAGGTGTAGAGGGTAGTATATCAGCTTAGAGACTCTAGGAAGCATCAGATATTTGAGACTTTGGACTCCATACTAAGGAAACCTATAGACAAGAGGGAGATGACAGGTGTTGAAGGTAACAGTTATGTGTTGATTATTGTGAGTTAGAGTGGATAACAATTTAAAAGCAAGACTGTGTGAATATAGGAAGTCTGGAGAAAGAGGGGAGAATTGACCAGATTGGTGTTTTTAACACTTGGAAACTCATCACAAATGTAGATTTTATATCTGTAACTGAAAGATTTATGTCACCATTAACAGGGGAGAAGAGTCAGAGCTTTTTTTAATTTTAGAATGTGCTGAGAAATTTGAATTTTGATTCAGATACATGAGTATGTGGATCTTATGAATATTTACATTATCATTATTATGCCCTTATGAATGTGTAAAAAATTGATCTGATATACAGAATCAAATCAAATTTAAAGTGACAGGACAATCTAGTACAAAAATTAAACAGGCAGAAATTCAATTTTTACTATCTGGCAGACTCTTGTGATAATCATAAGTCTTGAGTTCAGATTCAAAACACATTAGACAAATGTCTAAACTGACTGGTATATAGTAATGTGTTCTTTTCCTAAAAAAATATGTAATTATATATTTGGAGTTTACTTCTACACTTCTGGTAGCAAAGACCATTTCAAAGTAGCCATTGTTGTCAAAATACTCAGCATTATATTATAATTTTGCATATTAGACTTAATATGGAAAAAACTACAGAAATCAGAATGTTATCCACCCATTCTCTATGCAAATTTTAGGCTTATCTCATATGCAGTAATTTTCATCATTTCATTAGTAGAAGCCAGAACTCGTTCTCCTTCTCAGAAATATCTTGATTATGACAATGCAGACAACTGGTTTCGATTGGTCTGAAAAATTGTTGAGAAATTTGGAAGACAGACACCTATCTAACCGTTAGAACACAAACTTAGAGAGGACAGGTCTTTATATCTGTTCCCATTGCCAAGAACAGTGAATTTGCCATAAGGTTTTGTTGAACAAATTAATTTATTTTTGAATGCTCACTTATGATTGCTTTATTTCATGCCTTCAATATCGGCATAAGAAAACTTTCTGGGTAAATAAAGGTTTCAGATAGCTGAAGCTAATCCCTTAAAACTCTTTATTTTAGCTCTTTTTGATAAACATTTTTTTAAGATTGTATTATATGTGTTAGATAAGAGAATAGGTTTCAATTGATTTAACCATTTCATGATGACTCAGGTCCATTATAATAAACATTAATCACTATACTTTGCAGCAAAACAATGCAGACCTCAGAGACCATTGAATTAGACAGAATGGTTTGCATCTAGTATCTAATGGACACAAATTGCTGCATTTTTCTGGTTGATCTTCTGTTCTCAACTGCTTTTCTTCTGTCACCTGTCACTCTTAGTTGCCAGGGAAACCAGACAACCACATTTGTTAAAACAGTGATCTTAATTTTAGACATGTAACACCTGAATCTGCATTTGTTACATGGATTTTCCCAGATAATTGATTTCATAGACTATGGCTGGTTGTCACAGTCCCCCTTTCTT